TGGATTACACGTGAGGGAAAGCGGGCGAAAGTTTTAAGACAATATTGTCCTCCCCGTACTTTATTGCGTGTGCGGGGGTTTGGGAAGACAACGCTCATTCAGTGATATTACCTTGATATTGGGCCATTTAACTCCAGATTTATTCCGATTCGCGCATCGTTATACACCTGCTTAATGCGAACTCGAGCTTCACGAACTTTGTTTCTTCATTTCTTGTATATTTAAATCCACCCGTGGGGGGAGTTCAAACAATTTCCAGGGCTTCGATAACTGCAAATATTTCAGTCACGTTACGATCGTTTCCTCCCCTTCATACATTCCTTTATTTAAAACCTACCAATAATCCAGCAGAAGATTGGATTTAATCAATTAAGATTAACTAAAGTGCCGACTCGTTCATTGTTCCGTCTTGGAAATAGTTTGTATTCATGCACTCCAGACTTTATCGCAATTGGTCATGAATTCTTACTGCTTTTTTTTTGTATTATTGCTTTTCTGTTCGCAAATAGAATAGAACTGCATAATAGCACTGGAAACGGCACTTGCCTTTTTTTTTATTATTAAATAAATATCCTTTCCTATTTCTCAGAGCCCTTCCCTGGGAGTAATGAAACCAGTAAACGTAAGTAACTTTCCTAGTATAGTTACGGTTATGGTGTTATTAGCACTTTTGCTCTTGCTTTGTATTGCGACAGCAGATTTATAAAGCGTACGTGATAATTGGCACCGGGACTCCCGTAGATTATCTCGGCCGCTTCCGATGTGAAAGAAAGCGTCTGGCTTGCGCCCCAAAACCATTGCATCCGTTATGCTTGTATTTGTGTTCGTATACATATACATATATATATTTTTGGTCCGGAAGAGTTAATGAAGGGATGCTATCTGAGCACTAAATCGACGCAGTTTACTCCGCTTCAGTTAAACGATGAAAGCTTTAGCATAAACAGCTGACTTATTTATGATTTATACTAGCCATTGCTATTTTAAGTATGACTTAAGTGTTTCTTTATGAAGCGCAACGCATTCTCATCATTTTTTTTCCATCCCCCGACCGACATTCATCAAGCAATTAAAGCGCGAAACATCGCCTTTATGTCTTATACCTTTCACACTCTGAAACACGCACAAGGTGGACTATTTTAGGATACCCAAATTATCCACACCCCTACAACTCTACGAGACAAGAATATATATATTATAGTAGTCAATATCTTATTATTCAAACGTGATATTTAATTGAAAAATAACATAATGACATAATTAATTAATAACAAAAAATGAACATTTATCCTGTATATTTTGTAAAGATATTTAGTATAATAATAACAAACACACGAAATAATTAAATAACGTTGCTTTTGGTGTAATATTTACATCAAATGTAATTTGTTCTGGCGTTTCTCCACCAATTAGCATCAGAATGGCATAAAGTGAATAAAGAAGGTAACAAACAACGTGTTATTAAATTACTGACATTCACGATCCGTCATAAAAGGTAATCCGAAAATGGCACGACGGAAATGTATGAACAACAAAAAAGTAACATGTAGTATGTGTGTGAAAGAGAAACAGGAGAGAGAGTGAGAAACAGGGAAAATCCCACGACTGTAATTCTCCAGAGGATCCAAGCAGTGCAGACGGAACAACCGCAAATCTAAAACAAACGCGGCTGCCGCAAAATAAAAGAAAGTAAAATGATATAAAATAAATGAAGACATCAAAGCGAGTGCTCAATGTTGTCGGTCGATGTAAGTGGGACTTTTGATGTTTCCACATTTGATTTAATAATTTCCATTCCTTCCTCTTCCTCTGCGTGTTTGTTTCTTTTCTATTTTTCTTTTCCGGATCCTTTTCCCTCCAACGAGGGTTGCAAAAAGCGAGAAACAATAATGGATAAAGGGCCCGAGGCCCCCGTCCCCCCACATCACTCCCCCCCTCTTGTAATTAAGGATTTCACGGTCATTAAAGTACGCTAGTGGAACTAGCAAAAGGCATTATTTCGTTCGGCTGCTCGCGAATTTTATAACGGAGATATATTTCTATTATTCATTTTGACGACGAGAATGCAAAAAAAGAAAAAAGATTGAAAGGACGAAAACGTGCGTAAGCTATGGTGCTTCAGAAGTGCTGAAATTTAAATTATCGCCGAGATCCTCGAGAACCACACAACTTAATAATTAATCACACGGAACGACTGCGCTTTCCGGATTTTCTATTTGTTCCCCAACAATGAGCTTTAAACTTGCTCCATTCGCGGCCCAATTAATATTAAGTTCTTCGGCGTGGATCCGGAATCATTATTAAAACAACTTTTTACGTCCCCTTTCTTATACAACCCTTTCTTCACATGCACACACACCTGTCACGATTAATTATTCCAAACTTAAATAACGGTGCTGAAATGTAATGATTATATGGTAGAGTCAAACAACTTCCACTAGTTTTAACATCTATCAATATCTACAAAAAGATGAATTACGTAATTATCAATTGACTTAATAAAATGAAGTAGTGAAGAGAAAAAAATAAATTTATTTTATCTTTGCTGAACATTTCAACAGTCATACAAAAATTTATATTATTGTCTGTAACAATTTGTTTAATTATAGCAATTAATATTATTACTAACTCTAATGCATTGTATGTAAAGGTTTATAATTTCATACGTACATTTAAAATATGAATCATTTCGTTAAATGAACTTTGATAGTTTACATTTGTCCGAATGTAGAGCCACTACATGTAGTTTCCATTATATAAAAATGTCTAACAGCTTAAAATAAATACGTTTTAAAATGTATCCAAACTTCATTTTTGAGATGACACACGGTGTTTGTTTTTCATGTTCTACAAGTAGAAAACTATTTATAGAACATATAAACTCAAGCGTCTAATTTTAATAAGACTACAGTCTCAGAATTGATCAATTTTCAAAATAATAAAGATTTCCGATAATACTAAATATACATAATGAGTTAACAAATAATTTATCTCAAAATATTTATGCAATTTATTAAATGCATTTATAACATTTTACATATTTTAGTAGTAACAACGTCTGCGCTCCGTAATTTTACTTATATTTAATTACAGCCGTAAAGGATATTAGCCAATATCCAAGCTTATATCCATGATTCATTTAATTTTATGCATATGCTCTAAAACCCATAAACCGTACTTGCTGTGTACGGGATAGTGAGGCTGTTTACATCCGAATCACAGTTAAAATGCAAATTTACATACGCTCCTTTTTTCTTCTTGTTTTTCATTGAATACTGCAAACTTGTTATTAATAAAATACAAGTCAAACATCTCCCGGCTTCCTACATTCTCTAATGTTTTGTTTTCATCATAATTATATTATTTATTGAAATAAGATGCAAGTGGGTACTCTCTATGCTTATTTTCGCCTATTTGTTTTAAATCTACATGCAACCAGTTTTGTAAGCGCTATCACTGTATCCCATTAACCTTCATGGAGGTTAGTTCTTCTTGAAAACTTAATAACAAAAATTGAAAAGAAAATAGATTAATAATTTAGAAAATTTCAATTTCATAAAACGTTATGTTATGTAAATAAAAATAAAGTTTTAGTAAATAAAAATTTGATGTATGTAAACTAAACAAATGAGTATCGCATTTAGTAAATATAGATAATATTTCAATAATACTAGATAATAATTGAAAAATTGAGAACATTGACTTACATTCTTTATTTTGTATTAGTTTCAATAACTCGTATTGCCTCATATGTAATTTTACATTTTTGGAAACCAAATACATAAAAATAAAATAATAACTTAGCGAAATCAAATATTTATACTAACAATTAATATATTATTAAAACAATTAGTGATTGGAATTCATATTTGTAGATTCATTATTGATAATCAAAATTCAAATGTAAAAATAAATAATTTTAAAAATATTATAATTTATTCAGAAATACTTCAATATTAACTCGTTTTATATAATTTTGATAAGAAATAATTTAATAAATGGTATCGAAAGAAAACACAGTTTTTAATTCAAATCTAGCGTTAATTTTGGGACAATTGGGAAAATTATAACAAATTGAAATAATTGTAATTAACGGTGAATTTAACGTTCACTATACACTGTTTAATAATTAGTTTTATTGCTAATAATTATCAGTTTCTAATAATGTATATATTAGAGAAATAAATAAACCAAAATAATATACATTTACAATTAAATCCTGCAAAGAATAAACTAATGAATAACAAGAAAAAACAAAGATTTATCTACCTTCATCTTTCGTTTATTTTAATTAATTTAACACGTTTAAAAAACTATATAAAACACATGAAAAAAATATATTGAAGCTTATATAAAATATGTAGAACGCAAAGACTTATAATCTAGTAGACTTTTGCACTGATTTACGTAATCATTGTTAATAATAATATAATAATAACAACATTTATTGTAAGAGTTATAATTAAATTACAAAATTAATACGTTTATACGCAAAGCAAGAAATGTATTAAAAATTAGTATAAAAAATGTAATCAAATAACGTCCAACCATAAATATTTAAAAAAAAACGAAATGTTATTATACTTTTTATATTTGAATATTTTGATTGATTGATAAGATAAAAACTAAATTAATGATTAGGAAAACGTCAATGCGGTTGACAAAATATATAAGAATGTAGTTTTTGTGTGTAGCGATAGCATTGACCGTGAAAAATTGGAGTTAAAAACCATTAAATAGCGTATCTGCATGAGCGAACCACATAGAGGATCCATATTCATGGACAAAATAAATTTTCAGTGGTAAAAAAAAATACAGCATGGCAAGGGAAAACTATACATATAAAAATGTGCTGGTAGAGAAAATTGAAATGTTAAGGCAAGCGCAAGGATTAAAAGCGAATAATAAAAGCCAGAGTTAAAATTTGAAAAAATAAAACCAAAAAAAAAACACACATGGATTTATATTAGAAATTATAGTAAATCAAAAAACGAAATTACCTTCCAGCATCTGCGTTTGCGGACATTGTAATCGGATTGCAGAAACTGATCAATTATTCATGCCCTTGTTTTTTTTTTCTCTTTCTTTATTTTTTTGCTCAAATTAAATATTGTTTGTTTGTAATTTATTATCAATTTATTGTGCGTCAAACGTAACTTTTTTCTTTTTTACATAACCAACAACAAAGTACATAAACTAAACGGCGTAAACTTAACAAGGAAATTATTGTTTAATTAATTTATTTGGATAATATTAGCGAAGCGTGCGCGTCGTGTGCGCCCTTGTTCTGTTGACGGGCGTCGCGACGTCGTGTCACTTCGAAGGTCGACGCGCAACTGGCGAGCGGACGAGCTTCGCTTTTACTGCAACAGCACATGCCACAAGGGCACAAGCTCTCTGCGCATTTACTACCTGCATAGCTAAAGCTCGGCGACAACAGAACTGTGCGCCCTTTTTTTTTACTGTAAGTTTATTTATAACAAAGCTTCAAGTTCACAGTAAATTGAATCTTTTACGACCACACAACAACACCAACGTTCTTGTTTATGCTCATTACCCACTTCATACGAATTGACTAATTCAGTTTAACTTCGTTTTAATTCGATTCGAAGCAGTTGCTCGAACTTCCATAAATATTAGATTATGCAGGAGCGTGCCAAAATTATGCAATACACGGGGTCTTACCGAAGAGTAAACAAATCCAGGAAGCACGTGGTCTTAAAGCATATACGTATTTCCGTGTTAAATATATATTTATAAACTTGCGTTTTGACAACAATATACATGTTTTTTTTTAATATTTGATTCTTATTTTATAAAAAAAAAACATAATTATATTAAAACTGAATTGAAATATATTAAAACCAATCTTTTCGTTTCATGTTCTACATTTTATGTAAAAACAAAGGGAAATTATTCATTTTATAGAGAGAAAACTAGAAAATAATTGAAGGAATTTTAGAAATGTTGTATTCAATAAATAATATAATTGCACATACTACAACAAATGTTAATGAAATTCGAATTTCAATTGCAACAAATATTTTACTAAATTAAATATGTAGAATGTGTACAAGTTATTTACATTAAATATTTGATTTGTGGAACATTGTGAATAGAAATAAATACAATAGAAATATTTGTTTACGTAACTATTGTTTTCAAACATTTTTCCATTATCAAACCTATCAATAATATATGTGATAAATATCTCTAAACGTACTTCAAAAGTCGTAAATTGTCGTCATAATTGATGTAAATTCAAGGAAACGAAAAGTGAACATAAATTGTACGTTCGTATTCCTGGACGTTTATATTTAAAATCTCTTATTATGTAAAATAGATTGAAGAACGATTCAATGATTTAGCGTCGAAATAAATCACTGATAATGCCCATATGCGAGCTTTCTAAATGCACCGCAGTAAATTTAAAACTTTTATTGGAATTCCCGTATGAAAATCTAAAAATGTCGAGAGACACTAACGAAAAGATCCAATTGGCTTGAGAATATCATCACTCTTAAAGTCGAGTCGTAAACCAGTAATTGTGACCCTATGTTAAAACTTCGAATCATAAATGAAGAGTTCGCGGAATCTTCAGAATTTCTCAGAATTGTATTTCAGAAAATGCTCGTATCATTCGATGGTTGCCCAATTGCTTTCCGTATTATTCAAGCCTCGTAAATCAACGGTTTTAATTTGCTTTCTAATCCTTTAAGGACTCCCGGCTTTGCCGTTGTAATTTGAAGATTAGAATAGTATTTAAATATTCGAATTCCGGGAGTCGCGTTGCCACAAATCAACGTTTTTGTGATGTCAAGTAAAATATAAAAAAAAAATAGAATTATGTTTTCTTTAACTAAAAACAAATTAAGTAAAAGATGTAACTATCTATAATTATAAGATAAAAAGAAGAGTTTGAAATCTGCGCAAGGGAAGTAGTAAAATACCTAGACTAAATATAGAATCTTCACATATAAGCAAGTAACTGAAGATGTAAGATAGAGCCGTCTGTAATTTAATAAACATACTTCCAGATCAAAAGATAATAAGGCGTAATAAATGTCTAAGAGATTTAATATAGTAGCAGTTTAAAAGTTCTTAGAATGTACTTTTAAATGAAAAAAAAAATGCTATTATTAATGGTCATATGTGCAGAATATAGTAAGGAAACTTCAAAAAATGAAATAAATTTAATATAGTAATAGAAACTGTCTGAAATTGGAATAAATATGATAAAAATAGTAGCAGCAAGCAAAAATTCTGTATGGAAGTTCATTATGTAAACGGGCAACTAATGATGTGAAATATTTACTTCATGATTTAGTCCAAATAGGTAATAGAAACTGGTGAAAGCAAATAAGACTTAAGAAATTCAACAAGTGTAAAATAAAATAATTGCAATAAATAGGTACAGACAAAAACTTATATAATTACATAAAATTTACTTGTATTAATTCATATGTATTTTGTTAAAAAATGATGTATGTAAAGATATTAATTGAATACTTGATTAATTGCTAGTTGTAATTTAATAATCAACATAGTTGTATTAATTCAAAATAATTGGTGAATGGATTATAAATAGGATTTGGTAACAAGTGTAAAATAAAATAATTGCAATAAAGGTACAAACAAAAACTTATATAATTACATAAAATTTACTTGTATTAATT